GACCCCGTGTTTACATTCTTGATCTTAACAGAACCGGGCTGTATCTGTCCTGCTTCAACCAGAGGAGCTGGGCGGGTGTTCTTCCTTGTTTAAGCCATTTGGATTGCTAGGTGCCGACTGGTGTGTACACACAGAGATAAGAACAAAAGATACGCTTTCCTTGCCTTTAAACAGGCTCCCCTCCTAAAACGGTAAAAAGATCACAGAATGGAAAAATAACTTTAAAACCATCTCAGAAAAGGAATGTTATAATTTTGTCTGAATTTTACACATCATGCGGTTTTATGGCCAAAGTAAAATAAATCCATTCAAGCCACCAAGAGCTTCTGAATTCGTCACTCAGTGCTGTTTGCAAACAATGTCTGTTTTTCATTTTATGTAAGTGAAGAAAACCCCCACAGTTCTATGCAGCTTTTTGCTTGGGTTCCCCCCCCACCCCCCCATAACAATAAGGCAAACTCATTTGGAGGAAGAGGCCACGCTCTACTCACATCCAAAATACCCACCTGAAGATACATTCATCATTAGCTTTAGTAAAAGAATAGTACAAAAGTTAGATCTTATTCTTTACACAGTTGAAGAATTAAGTCTTAGATTTAATTTCACTATTCACCCCTTTCCCCAGCCCCCCACCCCCCGAGCTGAAAGCTGAGTAGAAAGTACTGAACATTTAAACATGTTGCAGGAGCAGAATGAAACTGAGAGATTAAATTTTATCAGTTGGAGAGTTCCCTTGATGGAAGTCCCATGAGAAACAGCTATGGATCATTCGTTTAGCTGTATCCACCAAACAATTCCTTTACAAAAAAAAAAATGGGCTACACTTTAATACACATCTACTATCAACACAGTATTTACTCAGTTCATGCCTAAAATACCCATTATGTTGAAGTGAAGTATGAGAATGAGCGCACAGGTTGGGTGATTCAGTAAACTGTACACAAAACTACTAACAAACATTTTAAAAGACTTACAAAAATGGGGAATGAAATTTTTTTTCCTTTTTAATTACATATACTTACAGGTTTTCACATTTATTGGCTAAACTTTGCAGGGAGCACTTTGAACATAAGTTCGATCTTTCAGAGGTATTTACCTCAAGCCAGAGCAACCCGCAGCTTTTATACAGACGGAAAATACCTTGCTGTATTAGCCACGCTTGGGTCTTTGACTGGCTTCACCACGGATGTTGAGCACACAGCCAAACTACAGCAAACAACTGCATATTCCCACGGGCAGTTTATGGTATGCTAACATAGAGAAGTTTTACTTTTGTGAAGCTGGACAGAATTTAAACATAAGTAATGTTTGCTTTATCTGCTTTGAATGAGCACAGAGAACACTGGCAGACTGCATCTTGTATAGATTTTGAGCACTAAACTGTTGCTAATACATTGAAGCTACGTGAGAGCTTCCATGTTTAAATGTTCACCAGCAAAAATCCTTCTACTAAAAAAAAAAAAGAGAGGTGGTTTGTCTTCATTTGCATGTTTGGAGTAGCTTCTCACTCAGCTTAGCAAACAAGCAATGCTGTGTTTCCCCATTACTGCGTTTTAAGCGTTAGTTCAACTCGGTTTAGTAGGGGCCTTTAATCTGACAGTAGGCGTCCTCATTTGTACTTTTGCCTGCGGATTCTGGGCTTCAGATGTTGCTGGTGTCTGGGCTGGATTCTGTACACCCGGAGCCTGAATCTGGGGAGATGCTGTTGTCACGACCTGTTGTTGTATCAGTTTCTGCTGGACGACCTGAGCAGTAGCAGTTGTTGCAGGAATCACCTGAACCTGCTGTTGACCGGCTGTCGTCTGAGAAAGTGTCACCGTTTGGGGTTGAGCTTGTACCTAGGTGTTAGGATGACAAGGCAATTACAAAAGAATAGTCTGGCGTTAAACTGAGCATTCATTACATTTCCACCTCACTTAGACAGGCATTTGCTCTCTTGAGTGACAAGCATCTTGGACAAAGTAGGAAGGCTGGGAAGGATTCTGGTAACACAGACTTTGGTTTCAGTGAAAAATAACATTCTGTCGCATTTTCTAGAGCCTTATAAGTCGGAACTAAGAGCCAAGATGCCTGTAACTCAGATCTCTGCAGTGCAAATCAAAGGACATTCCCCCAGACCCTTTAATGAAGATAGATGGAAGGTAAAAAAAACCCCACTGGATAAAAAGGAAAATTCCTGTACTACAGAAGCAGAAGCAAATGAACAGGGAAAAGAACAGAGGGATAGATGTACGATCAAAGGAGGGAAAATGCCCACTATGCACCCATACTGTGACAATAAATGCAGCCACTGAGGCTTCTTACCAGTCTCTAACATTACCCTGTCAGACTACAGCTGCCAATCTCTATCGCCAATTTAGGGTAGAACAGCTTGAACTGCATCCAGAAATCTAATTTTCATAGCTCTACCCAGAGCAAGGGAGAAAAAAATTCAACGTCTCCTTGTTCAGAGAACAAGGCAATGAAAAACTGAACAGCTTCCACTGCCTTTGTCAGAGGCAGAAGCCAAATGAAGTTACAAGGCCTTCTCCAGGGGAAAATTAACTCCTGACCAACCCAAGGGGAACCCACTGGGAAGCACTCAAAATGCAGGTAAAAAGAATGCTACACACACATCAAGACCACAGTTTTAAAAATACTTAGCATGGCCTAATCCTACTGCCACTGATGTCACTGGCGTGTGTGGCAGTTGTTTATTTACCTTTTTACCACGGACTTCAGCAGTCCCAGAGTTATGCCAACGTCAATGACTTTTGAAAATCTAGCTTTTAATGTCCTCTGAAAAATTATCTAGGAGCTCTTATTCACTACAGAGGACAACTTAACTTGTGTTGACTGATAAGGTTTCTGCTCCCTGCTGCCTACGTTGCCCTCGAAGCATTCACATCTGAGGTGGTTATCACCCAGCTTACACCACTTCATCACCATTTTAAGAGAAAAGTCACAGATTTTAGATTGCACTAAAAAACCGCACTATAAACTGTGACAGATTAAGAGCTGATTGGCTCAGATTTTTGTGCACTGAAGGCAACATCATCCACCATCCGAAGTTAAATCCTTCCTGCCAATCGGCAGCGTTATGCCTGTTGCTAATGGTCTGAACAAGGTTGTTCTAAACAGTGTAAACCAACTGCCTGGTACTCAGGGGAGGGGAGACCAAACTGTTCAACCTTCTTCTCTTGCCCTAGTCCCGTCTGTTATCATGCCACATTTAGAACAGATACCACACCATCCTGACTTTGACAAAACACTTGGCACAGCTTTATGAAATAGAACAAAATGATTTGCCCTAAATTTTATATAACAAACTCATATGGTGCTCATCAGTTCAATTATTTGCTATCTTGACTATACATCACAAGAAACCAATTTTCAAAAGTTGTGTCAGCTCTAGGAAATATTTCTTAAAATCTGTTTTGCAGCTTATCTACAGTGATGAACAAACACTGCTCCATCTACCAAAGTTTTGGACCAGAGAATATACAGCAGATGACTCAGTATTCACATGATCATTTTTGTAGAAGGGAACATGCTATATCCTTCAAAAATGCTACCTATGCCACACACTTAAGGTGAAAAATACACATATTCCAAATAAATTGAGCTTTCAATAGGATCATAGTTCTACTGCTATATTTGACAAGTGCAAAACCTACCTGTTGGGAAACTGAAACCATCTGTTGAATGTTGGCAACAGTAGCCTGTTGCTGGACCACTTGTGGAAGTTTTGCAACCTTTAGTGACACAAAATAAAGAGAAGCTTTGGTCAAAATAAAAAATTGCTAACAGCAGCAACACATCATGCCTATCAAAACCGCTACTAAGTGAAAACCCTTCCAAAGTCCTGTTCATGGCGAATTGCAGCTTGGCATTCTCGGTGATACTGAACTTTTGTAAAAAGAAACTTCACAGATCAATGTGTTGAAGAACTTAGCTAGGAGGGGAAGAGGAAAAGTAGTATTTTCTATTTTAACTAAAACATACTTGTTTCCTCCTAACTATATGCAAAATCGAAGGAAGGGCAGAAGTTCTACTGGGCTACATTATCTTAGATGTACTTTTGAAAGAGAGTAAGGCTTCCAACTCCTAACCGTCTTCCTTTTCCTTGGCTAGACTGATCCAGTTATGTAGAAAAGAAGATGACTGCCAGCTACTCTTGGATGCCAGAGGTTAGGCTGGGAGGCAGCATCAGAAAACAGGAAGAACTCTTGACTGAATTTTCCTTAGTAAACACAGTACGGAATCCCTTGCTTAATAAAAATGAGTGACAATGTATTTCT